CCACGGCATTACAGCGGCGGCAGCAGCGGGAGGGATACCTCCATTCCCCCCCTGCGCCGCCAGGGCATTACAATCAACGATTTAAAAAGCGTTTGTATTGTATTTCTAATTTGTTTTGACAGAAATTCGAAGAAAAAAAGATTTTTTTGCCAGTTTTAAAATTACTGTATCTCTTTAATTATGAGTTGGAAACCATTAGTATATTAAAATTTTTTGTTCCAAATTACCTCAGGAATGTCCTCCCTAAGTGGGGGTAAAACTTTGTGAATCACCCTGTATAGTCACTCATACATGTGACAATATACAGAGTTAAGTTATCCTGATGGAAAGCTTCAGGCATTATAACCCTGCAGTTAGTTGGCAATGAGTGACTAGCCTGATGTTTCATCTGTCTTTATCCTCCAGACAGAAGCTACTTGCATCCACCAGGTACAACGTTAGATGAGCCCCAAACCCTCTGAACACACAGGTTAAAAAAAGGAACATCCAAATTTTCCTACTGGGAACAGAAACCTAGTTACTGGGTCTGTAACTGACTGAACTACTGCAGCTCAGGCCAACTGAACCTTACAGCTATGCCCAGTGGAAAGTGGATCACCTGTTGTCATGGCATGTTGCATTCTCAGGCTGCAGACTGAGATGACAGAAAGCAGCTTCCATAACTTTAAGGCAATAAAAATATGTTAAATAAGCAGTAACAAGCAACTGATTAGAAGTGGTGTACAGCATGGAAATACAGGCAAGAAATATTATGTCAAAGCATACACACTGCCTCAGACTGGAACATATGGACAGAACCAAATACAGCAGAATGCTTGTGTGAGGATGGTTCCATAATAGCCAAGAATTTCTTAATCAGCTAAATAACTATTACCTCCTCAAAGACAGCTCTATATACCAGTGGATCAGTTACAGCAAGAGGGGGAAGGCAAGGTTAGAAGAAAGGGCTGCAGGTGGAGGAAAGAGAAGACCATAACATCTACCAGAATCAGGTGGCAAGGTTTTGTACAAGTTAGATCATCTTCCAAGAAGTGACAGGAATTAAGAATAAATATTAAGCTGCATGAAATTCAGGTGGTATTCCTTTCAGGGAAACCCCCAGGTGATTTGAAGAAATTCCGCCCCAAATATATTTACAGTATCCTACATGTTCTTGTCTAAGTTGCTGAGCTGTCTCTTTGCCATCTTTGTCTTATTGTTACAAGAACACACACACACACACACTCACTCACGCATCCAGGTGGACACATATAAAGTATGTACACCTTATTATTACTTGCTGTAATCCACATGAAGAAACTAGCCTTGCCTTCTTTTTGCACTCCTGGGATGAATAAATTTTTATTCCACTAAATCTAGAGAGCATTTGAAGTGTTCACATATGCTTTTCAGCAGTTCAAGATTTGGACATACATGGGCATGTGCCCATCTCATCACATCTTCATTTTTTGTAACTACAGACACAAATGCCATTATGAATTTCTAATCAGATACAAGAAACATATAAAATAAAGGCACCAATAATTTAGAAATATACATGATGTGGTCCATACAAGACAAAAAAGCACAAACAGTTCTAACAGAAAGAAATAAATTACAGATGAAAGATGAACAAGAACATTAGAAGATAAGATTTATAGAATGAGATTCATATAACAAATGGAATCAAAAACAAATTAAAGTACAAAAATGTAAATAACACCTGCTATTGAATTTATATAGAAGTAAATGACAAACAGGGAGGTGAATCTGAAAATTTTGTGATTGTGAGATTACAATCACATTCATAAATTTCACTTCTGTGTGTGAATGTTGGCAGTGAAGTTTGCATACTTGAGAATAAGAGTAACTAATCAAATTCACAAAGAAGTTAAGAACAGGCTAAATTTGGAGAATGCTTATTATCATTCAGATCACAATTTTTGGCTTCTCTTCTGTCTGAAACCAAAAATATACAGAACTATAATTTTGCTTGGTTTCTCACCCTAAGGAATGAACATGGGTTTGGTTAGTTAGTTTTGAGAAAATTACTGACACAGTGACAACACTTGTCTTCATGAATGATTGTAAAACCAGGTTTACTGGGTTGAATCAACTGAATGAAAGCATCTCTTGCTACTTTTATAGTAAACAATACTTGTCTAGCATGGTAACATGTTCACTGTTGTACATAATGCTTGTAGAATGTTGAGCTGTCTGTGGCCAATGACACACAATTCTACTGATGTAATCATGCTGATAATCATTAAGTTGTGAAGAGATGTCAATCAAATGCACATTTCCTTACATCATAGAGGAAACCTTGGTGAACTGATACTGAAGAGGTAGAGTTGGTGCTTTCTTTTCTGTTTTTAAAACTATGCATCTGTTGCTTACAGGTAAAAGAATGCAAGTTCGCAATTCTCAATGGAAGCGTGATTTTAGAAGAACTGTACCCAAATGTCATAAAATGACTGCTTTTTCTGATTCTGATGATGATTCTGTAATCTGTGACAATGTATAATTACATAACAACCATACTGATTCAGGGAAAATGGCTGACCTAAGAGGAAAATTCTCTGCAGAAATGTATGCTTGTACTAAGCAAAAACATTTTTTCTGAAGTACTGTCATATAAGTATGATGGTTCCACATTGGATCCTATTGTTATCAATAAGGCAAGAACACTTCACAACAGCATGTGATAACAGAATATGTCAAATCAAACAAAGTAGGCAAGTAGTTTGAGATGCTGGCACAATGCTATCTTGGTATATTCCTACAATTGCAGTGTAGCCGTAATTGTAATTGCCTTTAAAAAAATTATGGTGACAAAGTGCATACAAACCAGTTACAGAGTATATAAACATTTTATAATAAATATCACACATAGCATTGTCTTGGAAGAAAATATGGATGCCGCTAATGTCTGTAAAAAGTATCACTCTCAAAAAATTGATCAAACAACTTTCATCTCTGCTGGGGATCTTAACAGTGGTACAGCATCTTCTTTAATAAGTAAACAAATAAATTAATATGTGAAGGATATACAATATTTAAAAGTTCTTAAAAAAACTATAAAGTTTGTCAGTGTGTACCCATGCACAGCTTATGAGAGGCTGTGGGGCTGTAGTTGAGGATGTCCACATTAATGTCAATTTGAAAATCAAGCGGCATCAGTCCAATTTTTAAATGAGAACAGTAGCTGAGGTTTAGCTCATTTCATCAGCATTCTGTCAATAGTAATTTCATACATAATCTTGAAGAATGTTTTATAAATTACTATAATAAAAAATGCAATATCCACCTGTCCACAGGGTTTAGTGTTGAAATTTGTAACTAAATATTTACATATCTGGAAATACACCACAGCTGCATAATATGGACAAACCTCACTGTGACAGAGCCACTGTGTTGAACACAACAGGAATCTGAAGGGTACAGTTGTTCTTACAAGCAATCTCATATTGTACTGTCAACAGAAATCTCACCAATAGTGACAGTGAGTTGTGAGAAAGTTGGACGGTCACGAGGACTGTCAGACCAGCAGCTGATGAGCAGGGACTGCAATGACTGAGGTGCCGCCTTGTGAGGTTTCCACTGAAGGTCATGTTTCTTGAGTGCTGTGAGCACTGCCTCATCTGACATCTTGGAGAATGGCAGCTCTCCCTGGTAGAACATCTCCCAGACTAGGCAAGCGAATGAGTATACGTCTGATTTGGTTGAGTAGTCATCCTCATACACAGCCTCATATGGCATCCAGCGTAGTGGTATTACCTGCATATGCATTTACAGGTTATCAGTGAACAAATCATTAGATATATGTTATTCTTCCTACAGTAAAAACATCAAACATAATGGTTGAGGGGTCAAAACTTTTTCTACATATTTAGGAGACCCCCAGTTCAATTCCTGGCCAGTAAACAGACTATCGTGATGAATTGAAGTACACACAAAAGGAACTTGCCCCAGTGCTAATTTGTTCACCATAAATCTGAAATGGAGTGCGCTGGGTTGAACCCAGACCTCAGCAGTAAGAATCCAGTGCCTAACTGGCAGAGCAATAGCATAAATATTGTGACATGTTGACCCCTACCTCCCCAGCTGCACGTAGCGGTAACGTAACGCTAATAGGCGAGTAATCACCCCGCATCCTGGCAGCCATGCGCGGTGACGTCACGAGCGGAGCCGAAGAGAGCCGAGCGGAGCCGAAGATAGCCGAGCGGAGCCGAAGATAGCCGAGCCCCGTAACCGGGTAACTATGCAAGGCGAATCAACAGCGGTGACGTAACCGGACAGCGTGGCTAGCAACAAGGGTGCCTATTACGTGCCTATTGTCCGATCGAGGCTACATAGGGAGCAGCGAAGGCTATTCACAGTCAGTTGTACTGTAACAGTCGCCGAGTCGAGTTGTACTGAGTCAGTCAGTGAGTCCTGGAGCTACCGCCGAGCACTTAAAATATCGTTAGTTAGTTCATAGGTTGCTTTTTCTGTTGTTAGGTCTTTCCTAAATCCAAATTGCTCTTTGACTAATATGTTGTTAGAATTTAAGTGTTCAAGTAGTCTATTATACATAACTTTTTCAAAGACTTTTGAGAATGAAGTCAATATGGATATTGGTCTGTAATTAGAGATGCATTTTCTCTCTCCTTTTTTAAAAAGTGGTTTCATTACAGCGTATTTTAAGCGTTGAGGAAAAGTACCTGATGATAAAGATTTATTACATAGATGATTCAAGGGTGAACTGATGTAAACAGAGCTTGCTTTAAGTAATGTAATT